ATCGAGCGGATTTTTTTTTTTTCTCTCTCCAATGTCATATGTGATCGTTTGCCAAAGTTGTCCGACGTCCACCGTGCCCAAATGGCACGTTTCCGTCAATATTCTTCAAACCTTGCTTATATTCCCGGATTTCCAAACCTTGCTTATATTCTCGGACAGAGGGAGTACGAAAGAATACATGCAGCAGTTATTTTCGATCGAAGCTCGAACTCAATCCAACTCTTTTTGAACAGATCATTGACCACTTTTCACTTGGAACCACCTGCGTAGCAAGCTGGCCCTTGCCGCTTCTAGCACTACACAGCAGGGAACAAAGTCTCGCAAATCTACTCGTAGCGTTCATCTCCTTACGTTTGACTTGACCAATCGGCCACACGGTCGACTGGCAGGCTAGCGGCTGCTCCTCGATTCTCATGGGGGTGTGCGTGAGAACATTGCGAAGACGATCCTGTCATGTACGGGATGTCTGCCATCTCTCTGCGATGGCCACAGCTACACAGCGCCAGCTGTGATGCAAACCATGCGAGGGCGGGGGCCGCCGAAGCGCCGACGCGTCGGCTGAAAACCCGAGGATACATGGGTATATGTTCCTGCCCCCCACCAAAAACTACGAAATTACCCCGATTTTCGATTGTGTAGTGTAGGCCTACCTAACTAACTCACTTGAACAAGGGTTCGAAACGCACCTCACCTACCCCACTCAGCGGAAAGTCCTGCCAACAAATATAAATGTCGACCTTCCTCCACGTCGTAGATCACACAACCGCCGTAACAACTTGTGCTGGACAGTGACGGCGAAATCACAAACCAACCGAAACTGGCCCAGCGACCCGCTTTTTTTTACGCCTTTTCATATCCGGGCCCGCAAAATGCTGTAAATTTAACAGGGTAACATCGGGTGAATCAGTGGACTATAGGTGCGGGGCAACACACGTGTGGCAGAAGTGCACCAAAAAAGGACAAACTAATGAGAGGGAGAGGGAGAGACAACAAGTTCTCGCAGCCACAGAAGGAAAGAGGGCAAGCATTCGAACCCAAAGATTTCGGGGTGTCAACAAGTCTGCCCAACAGTCGTCCGTCCTCCTGGCCTACTAACTTACTTACCGTAAGGGCAGTTACCCCTCACAGGTAGTGAGTGTTATGCCCCGTGGTCCGTCGTCCTGTGGCATACTTACTCCTCTGCGTCCTCACCTTTATTCATTTCAACCACACGGGAAATGCACAGAAAGACTACCCGTTCGAGATACATACATGTACGTGTAACCATCACGTGTTCCCGAGGCGGTAATGGCTAGGTAACGGTTGGGAATGTTTTTCCCTTTCGCCTTCCTCCGCCCCTCCATTATTCGACGGTTCGCCAGATCGGGGCTGGCTGTGATGGGACACCGATTATTTGCTGAACGCGACGAGCTGGCGGTGGAGGCCGTCCGCGAGAGCTTGTTGTGCCCGGCCGTTTGGCTTACCCCGCGGCTCTGCTGATGGGCAGAGGCGTGGAAACAAGTGAAAAGTTTCTTGGAAGTCCAATGAAGCCCATGCACACATTTCATGGACATCGACGTCCAAGACGGCCAAGGCTGACTGTCGGCATTTGTCCACCAAGTTGGCGTCAATTTCTGGAACGTCCATGCATCTCGGCATTGCTACCTGGTCGGGTATTCTTCAAGACAAGAGATGGGTGCGCTACTCCGAGTTGGTTGACGTTCGCGAAAAGTAGAGTACCGACTAGTGGAAGACATCGCGCTTCCTTCCTAAGAGGGTTAGATCTAGATCTCGACTATTGGATATACATGTTGATTTGACACTCTTAGTGTTGGTAATCATTTTCGCATGGGGTTATATCTGGATATTGTTCACCGATGAGCAACCGCGTTTTCCTGCGGCGGGATGGATTTGGCCATGTTCAGGGTTCTTTGGAATCTCATGGTCCAGGTAGCAGCACGAGGAGTTTTATTTTCTTGGTTGTTGCAGTGCACCGATGACGGTGGGGGGTTGTGATCTGAGCACTAGTGATATTTAACCCTTGTTCGCCAAACTCCCAACTACTGCGTTTCACCTGCGAAGCTGGTGTGTTGCCGACATATTTGGTTGAATTTCCTGGGGAAAGTCACAATATGTTGGGTTTATTTTCCTGCATTGAGTATGCGAGAGCGGTACTGTTGAAGATTTTCCTGACGTTTCCGGAAGTGAGGATATTTTGTTCATCGTAGAGACTGCTGTTTTTGTATTGTTAAAATACGTGAACACATGTATATCAACTGTGCAGCAAGGACCACGCAAACTATTACGCGTGTGGTTAACCACGCAAACACCGCGTGTGACCAACCAACGAAACAACGCGTGGCTCGAGGGGGGCGATTCCCCCGGCACGTGTCTTGGACCAAGCAAACCACGCGTGGCTCTGCCCCGCCGCGGCACGTGTGGTAGACCAAGCGAGCTACTGTATTCGCGTGTGGGGTGAGTGACAACATACTACTGTGACCCACAGTACAACAGACTGCTGTGACCTACACGTAGCTCACGACGGGTTCCACGGCTACTCAAAGCGTTCCATGCGGCAACGCAAGCAGCACGGGAGACTGTCGTGGACTGCTATAGGTAGACAACGACGCTTGTACTTCAGAATAAGCTAATGTACCACTGCTGTGTACTATGGTGCATTTCCTCCGATATCCGTGATGTGGTCTGATTTGGAAAGTTAATTTCCGTTTTGGAATTGTTCGGAAGGTATAGTCTAACCTTTGAAATCACTGTACCATCTTGCGACACCGAAGGATAACAAGCGGGCTACCGATTGCCGACGCCACTCCGCCCTTCTTAGCTGCGCGAGTGTTGGAGGATTTATGTGGTGCAAATGGGTCACCTGTCTCTCTCTTGTCTTGGACAGTCGGGATAAGGATGCGGTTGTGCGGCGAGCGGGTGAAAACTCGGCATGCGAAGCTGGCGTGATTCGGTTGTACCTTGTGGCCCCATGTTCTTGAACAGAGGACAAAAATAACTAACAACACATCCAAGCTACCAGATAATGTGCACCTGCCTCACACCGGGACTATAAGGAGGTTTGCTTGAATGTGTGCCCTAGCTGGGCGTTGTAGAGTGAATATATCGTGTTTCCGAAAGGCCAGGACACGCTGAACGGATGAATATTTGTCGCAACCAACATGCTAATGGATGCAGGTGTACGCAGCGACGACACTGCTGCATGATCGCTGCTTTGCTCCGCCGTCGTTCGTACCGTTTTGGTGGTTGTCGAGCACGACTTTAACCTTGTGCGCAGATTCCTCCACCCGGAGATTGCACAACTGTATCAAATAATAGAGGAAAACCTCCCTCTCCATCTGGATTTCCCCACGACAAGATAGTAAAAGTGGTCGTGCCGGCGCCCGAAAAAAAAAACAAATCCGACACCTACGTACCCATTTTCTTATTCGGGAGGTGTTCGGGGGGGGGAAGGGGAACTGTAGTCTAATTCCTACATACAGCAGAGGGGGCCCGCGGTGGGAATCAATTTTGCGTTGGGGTACCCTATGCGCGAGCTAGGATCCTCTCTTGCAAACCCGGGACCCATGATCACGTACAACTGGTACGCATCATATCAAGAGCGCACCTATTCCATTCAAAGTATGCGAATAACGTCGTCACAATGTCGTCGAACACGATGTGTCAACCATTTGCAGCTTGGGTAAAGTCGCCTCTAAGCCCCATGAGAGGCAAAAAGGCCCGTCCGCAACCTAGTTGTTCGGGATGTTACACCAGTTCCGTGCGCATGTGCGTGCGTGGAAAATTTTCCTTCGGCCATGGAACAGAGTGCCTTGCTTTGGGTGACGGCAACAACAACAACAACAACAACAATTATGCGCACCCCTTGTCGTAGAAAATCGGCATTGGTGAAGTTTCCCGACAGCGGCACAACGCATACAGGCCTCACGACTTTACTCGGCCTTATGAACCGCCTGCCAGGGTACTGGAAAATGAAACCTCCCTCGGCATTCAGTTGTCTTCTCCATCTCCGACTTCTCCGCTCGGATTCTTCAGGAGAAGACAGGCCGCTCTGCGTTCTTCCACAGAGACATCATCGCCACGGGCGGGTGCTCTGTTCGCCAGAATCCACGAGGCTACGCACTCCAGTCGGCTTCTCTTGGCAGCCGTGCAACCAAGCTCCGTCTGAGCCCTTCTTACCGCCGGAAACAGCGATGACTCCTCTCCCCATGAAAGCCCAATCGTGTTAAAATACTCTTTCACATGTACGTGACCCCCAACGGCGGCCCAGTAGCCTGCTTCGCTGTTGCAACCGCCGCCGTTCTCCCTGCCCCACTTGATAACATCCACGTGCTCCCCCCCTGGGCTCCCAACGTATAGACCCTCGTCAGGTCTGCACTGCAGCCGCTAGCAAAAGCCCACCGCAGAAGGTGGAGGTGCCTGTACCTGGCGGCATTCGAGCACACCGCGTCGGACGCCCGGCATTCGTTCTGAATCGCGTACTGCAGGGCCTCGAGGTGGCCCCCTTTCGAAGCACTCGAAGGCGTGTTCGAGTCCCACTGGCACCCCTCCTGACGCAGCCAACGGAGCACCGCGAGCTGCCCCCCCCCGGCAGCTGCCGAACAAGCGCGGGCGTCCCATCCGCCACAACCGTTCTCCTTTGCAAACCTCAGATGTCTAGGTGTCCGCCCTTGGCGCCGCATTCCACCGTCGCTCGATCCCACGGACACTCGTTGGCCCGGCACCACTTCAACGCGTCCAGATGCCCGCCTAATGCCGCGCCAGCGCAGGTCGCCTCCGTTGGCAAGCAACCATTCTCTTTCAGCCACTCGAGGGCCGCGATATTGCCGCCCTCGGCTGCTGCGGCGGACAGTGACCTAGTCCAGGGATATCCCTGCTTCGTCGCCCACCTGAGAAGATCTAGGTTAACCGCCCGCGCCGTGGTTGAGCACCAATCGACGCCACCCCGAGCGAGGCCACACGCGAAGCTGCACACAAAGCATACAACGCGCGTGATAACCATGGACAGGTGAACACAGATTGTGACATGGATGTTAGGTGTAGGTCACCACCCCAACCACTAGGCCGCATTCCTTGCCGCATTCTCTCATAATTATGACTGTCTCGCTTTCTCCGTTACTAAATCCAAATTCGTCTGTACCCGATTTCGGCAGTTGGCCTTAACCACGGAAGGCTTCCACGGCCAGCTGCATCGGCACGGATATTGCGAGGTAATACATAGCACAGACCGAAACGGCCAAGACAACAACAACAACAACAATTGCGGGCGATACCTGTACTGAAGCTGAAAGGGCGTGGTGTGAGGCGTGACCCAACTTGTCACCGTCGCCCGCTCCCCCCACGCGCTCTCCAGCTACGCGAGACTGGCGCAAAGAATAGGAACTGCTTGTCGGCGACGAATCGCGCCAAGCCGCGGACGATATCCATATTGGTCACGGCGACATTCTCCGTCCGAACGCGTTTCGCGCTCCCTCCGATCGTGCCAACGTTCTGCGCGCGAATGACAACGTAACGATTTAGAGGCAGGGGGGATCGCTAGACGTTCCGGACGAGACACTTTTCTGGTTCTCGTGGACTTTGCGTGTACACAGCGAGGGTGACCAGGCCATTCAAGTATATCCCATTTTGAGGTGATAGATTCGTGGAGGGGAGTCATCTCCTCATTCGTATCCGCTCTTGTACGCGTTCGAGGGTCGAGTTGGTTCCCACTTCGGAAGGCAGTCGGGATATGCCAATGCGAAGGACGGGCGAACAAGCCGCAACGCACAGAAGGCGACATGACACGAATAGCAGCAGCTGGTAAAACACCATCGATTGCGTCAACTACTGTGCTCTCGGCGGTTCCGGGTTTTCGGACGCAAGAGGGGAGCCGGTGCAGCGGTGCTTAGGTAGCCCTGCCCCAAACGCCTTCTCGCTCATCAAACCACCGTTCGAGTAGGCCGTGTGTACTAACTCTAAGGAGCTGAAACCGAAGCCCGATTGCATCTTTGGTGTTGCAGGGAATGTCTTCATACCCGGCAAGCAAGCTTGAAAGAAACATGAAACCAAGTATCGTATGACGTGGCCCTGTGGGACCCAGCATTCTTTTCAGCACCTCGGGGGGGTGTGATGCATGTTGGAGCGATTAAGAATACGGTCCATGTACGCATGCAAGCTCCAACGCGCGTTTTTCAAAAGGATAGTCTGAGCGCCGGTAAGACTACACCAGTCGCTAGATATCAACCAATTTTCAATTTTTGGAGAATGCAGCCAACTCCGAGGATAACACATATATTTCAGTTACTGCCACTTGTTGGTGGAAGTCAATTGACTCCTGTGAATTCATGTGAATGATTTCAGCCGCCGGGGCAAGGGTTGAGGTTGCTGACGACCGGAGCGAAAGTTGGTGATTGGGCAACGCTTTTCGAGCAACGCCCTAGATGTAGAGAGCTAGCGCACAGATTTTTTACTGAGAAGAGAGAACGAGCCTACTACTGTAGTCTAGGATAAGCTCAGTCGGTAGGTACGCCTTGGTTCTTGGGGCATCAATCGCTGCTTCTCGCGCTTTTTTTTTCAGGGGCACGCAGGAGGCTTGTTGATAGGCTGTGTAATATATGGCCCATGCCCAGAACTCCCCAGGCATCTGTGGCGCGTGTGCCCGACGCCTGAAGTCGAAAACTCGCGGGCACTGGTTCAATATCCCGGGGACGTGTTCCGTGAAGAGATTACCCGGCGAACCAATACTGAAACCCAACGATGACAAAACAAGGAAAACAAGCCAGCTGAGGAAGCTGATCACATGTCACGATGTTCGTGAGGGTGATTGTGTCATCCTTACGAAGGCTACTGCTGTAGTTGGGTGTCGGTGTCAAGCGTGATGGCCATGAGTTTCCGGGTACACGTGGTTCTGCCGGTGCGTGGGTCTTGGTTATTTGTATGTTGGCGCCGGGTTGACATGAATCGTGTTCGGACGAGACCGGGGCACGGTAGGTCTAGGAGGCTGCTTGTTTTGACTCAGGTACGATGGTTACCTTGGAGCATAAGTGACCGCTCAAGGGGCGTAGATCTTCGGGGCATCTTCTGATGTGCCCGGAATTCTGTATCTTTGGCATTTTACGCAATGTTCCGAGTTCTGAGTTCCTTGCCACTGGAGTGTGCAGTGGGTGTTTCCCACCTGATGCTCGCCCTCCTTTCTTTTTCGACAACGGCAACCTAATCAGCATATTTTCGCGCCTATCACTGGGCCAGCCTTGCTCATCCAGCAGCACTAGGCTTGGGACAATCAAACATATGACCCCCATAACTTACGCATCTTGTCTCCTTCACGGTTTGTTTGGGCCGTCGCCTCTGCGTGGTGGATCGGGTTGACCAGCAGTCAGTTTCCCCGCGGGGTTAGCTTATCCATCCCGGAAAACTTGCCTCTTTGAACGAGGTTTGGGTACACTTTGATACTAACTCTTTGAGGGACCTTAACCCTAACCCTCACCCTCACCCACACCCACGACCAACGCACGGCCTAGCGGCAGCGAACTAGGCGAGCACGCGGCGCACCCGCGTTCAAAAGATCTACAGTAGCACTGTTCGTGGGTCTGCGAACATTGGTGTTAGATACATGTGCTGGATGATTTTGTGTCACGCAGACTGGTAAGATCACCGTTTGGTAGGGGGCACCGCTATGATTCACGGGGACCCTCCTTGCTGTGGGAGCCGCTCTTTGAGCACTCTCTCTTTCGTCCGTGTGAAGGACGGTCGTCTACCTCCCGTGAAGTTAATACATAACCAAAACAGTCTCACCCGATAAATAAGTGGCGTAGGCCGCAAACACTCTAAGAGTTTGCCCCTCGAGGGAAGCCACATCGGGATGAGCTCTGCTACACGAAGAGCGCGCTGCTGCGAGCGGAGAACAGATCCGCCCGCCGGTGCAGGAGGGCCGCGACGCGGAGCTTGCAAGTTTGCAACGGCAGATTTCGCAATTGGCGGCCCTGGTGGAGGAGTCGGTGAAGAAGAAGGAGCCTGGTAGCGTCGTGGCGGATGCAGCCAGTAGTGGCGGCTGGGTTGCCGCCACCGGAGGCCAAGATCAGCCCCTGCTGCCGCACGGCGGAGGCGGGGGATTTCTCCAGCAGCAAGCGAGAGATAGTGGGCAAGGACCACGACAGCTGCTGGAAGGCGGCTGGGCCAGCAGATCGGGAGCGAACCCTGTTGGACCAGCCGGAGTGGGCCCGGGCATAGGACCGGACTACGGGGAAGCGAGGGGGTTAAACCCCCCAGGTGAGATACCCGTGATTCGAGGGAATGGAGAATACCTGGACGGCTACAGCAGTAGCCACCAGAAAAGGGTTACGGTCAATGCCCCGCTTCTAGACGGGAAAAGCCGTAGCCACGGGTTTGATTCGTGGCGCAAGTCGTTCATCCAAGCTGCGAAGACCATCGACTTGGACGGGCAGTTTATAGGAGATGCAGAGAGCAGTATCCCCGTGGGCGACCCAAACTTGCC